GTTGCTCGACTTGACATACTCGTCCCTGGCGCGAGAGTCCGTGAAGCTTGGAGTCGTCTCCCGGTTCACGACATGCCACACCGACTTGGTCAGGAACACACCACGCATGTAGCGGTTCCACGTCGCGTAGTTGTCGCCGTTGAACTTGTCGATGGAGACCTTGGTCGAAACGTCTTGTGCAGAGGACATGGTACTTGGGCTCATAACCTGATAGAGGTCACGAATCTTGGAAGACGTAGGGGCTTGTAGGAAGCGAAGGGCCTTCGTAACCAAGTGGCTACATGTAGCCACTTGCGTGTAACCCCGTTAGAAGTTGTGAGTTAGGTTTGCACGGATTACAGTTTTTTTTTTTTGCAATATCCACGTCGAACATTTTTGTTTCTTGAAGAGTTCCTGAACAGTTGAATGCTGTGCCCTGGATCATATAAGTTTCGTGCACCATGATACGAGTATCACTCTGCTATTGTACAGATTGTTGCATCTGTTTCGCTTTTTTTTTCTTCGCTGCTGCGAATGGGGTGGCATTATTACCAAGTTTTATGCTATTTTCAGATTTGTCTCTGTTAGCAAAATTATTTTCCCGACGCTCCGGCAGAATTTTTCTAAGCGGCATGTGGGACACTATCTCGAAGTCAGGAATGTTTGAATATGTTGTTGAGACCTTTAATGCTACTGGCTGTCGGGTTGCTCGAATCCCGAAAAGTGATTTTGCATCTTCAAGCTTGTCATATCGGGCCACTTAGACTTGTACCAGGTCTCTTCGGACGCAGAAAACGCGAAATTCTTATCATGGTCGGACTAGTTGGATGCATTTTAGTGAGGTTGTCTGCCACAACTTCTTCGTCTTCAGTTCCCTGGTTGAGTGGTACTGGGAAGGCTAGTTTAATTTCCTCTAAAACTGCCTCGAAATGTAGTAGTGAACTTGCACTTTGAGGGTCGAACACAAGATCCCAAATTAATCGTTTTTTCTGTTATCCACTAAATGAAATCGGTGTGCGATATTGAAAACGATGTGAAGGCTTCAAAAATTTGAATGTATCTTCAACCCAATGTTTTTAGCAGCACTTGAGCATTTCGTTGCTTGCCTCGGTCGCAAAGACAGGACAACTCAGCAAGTCGCCACCTGCGGCGATGCAGTTCGGAGAGAACCACGCATAGTTATCAGCGGTTTCTTTGTGAAATAATCCAACAGCGAGCGGAAGACTTTTCTTATTTCTGTTGTATCGTGGAATTTTTCATATGCGTACCGTCACACTCGAAAACTGGAAGTAGTTTTTTCTACATTGTTACGAGTTGACCCCAAAAAAAACACGGAAGAAAACGGCCGCTCGAGTCGAGTTGACAACAAACACAATGACAACGTGCTCGTTGTCTGAAAATGAGCGTATAAAGCTAACAATATGGAATTTGTGCAAGCTAATAGTAAGACAACGTAAGTTTTGAAAACTACGAGCAATTTTACCAAATTGACACGAGACTAACGCACAGTTTTTGGAGACTCAAGAGCCAGGCATTATTAGCTTAAATATATGAACAGAAAGGAACAGTTACATGTGGCGACCGGCGGGGTGGTATAATTTGGAGACAGGATTGGTAGAGAGCTTTCGCAACACAATTTGCTAGTCCAATTTCGACATCCATATGGGGGAGTAGAAATAGGAAAAGCAAACTACGGCCAAGCTTTCGCAGCCATTCGATTCCTATCCAACACGATCCCGCAATCATTATGTTACGTTGATTGCGCCACCAGTGATTAGACGAGTAGGATGATTGGACGAGTGAAGAGAGTTGGTGATTAGATGACCCCAATGATTGGATGCAGACTAGGTAGTGAGAGTAGTGTAAGCTCCGATAAATCAATCACTTC